AAGTAATGTTCGATATCGTTCACTATAGGAAAATAAGTATAATTCAGTTTCATTAGATAATATTGGAAGATTAAGTGATGATATATTCGAAGGAATTGAAGATTGTAAACCATATCTTAAGATACCAATGCAACTAGTAAAAAAAAGTAAATTGTTTTATAGATTAAAAATGAACGGTTGTAAAAAAAAAAAAGAAAAGAATAGTATGAACCTAGAATTGGCTGCTGCTACTCGCCATCGAATTGATGCTTGCATAGCAAAAACACCAGTATATTGATTTTTTGTTTCAATCATTACTGCATATCGTTGTCCAGAAGCAATTTCAATCGATGTCATATTAGGTTTTGGTACTATGAGCTTGCCATCTACTTCAACAACAGTCATGGTATGTTCAGCTATACCAAACACAATCGTAGATAAACTTGTTGCACCAATTAATCGTAATAAATAGAATGCATTTGGTTCTACAGTCAATACGTAATTTCGTTGACCATTCATAAACACATTTGATGGTTCTCCTTCCCATTTAAATGGTGATTGAAGTAAGCCTGCTTCTTGTGCAAGACGATCAACACCTTCCCAATGATCAGAAAACATTATTGGACCTGATGGTATTTCTACTGCTTCCCATGGTCTTTGTGGATCATCAATAATTACTGCACCAAATGCTGTAACAGCTTGTAATCCTACATGTGAATGATATATATGAGTACCAGCTGGATATGCATAAAAAGCATATGTAAATGTTTGTCCATGTGAAATTGGCATTTGTGTTACGAATCCTACGCCATCCATTTGTGATGTTTGTTTTTGAAGAATACCATGAAAATGAATAGTAACGTCTTCCATTGATTGAAGAGCATTATGAATATGAACAATTATTATATCGCCAACATTAACTCTAATTGTTGGTCCTGGATATTGATTATTAATTAATATAACAGATGTTGTATTGCCAGCATAGGTAGTTGTAAAATTGTATTCATGACGATTAATAATTCCACTTACTGCATCAGTCAAAGGAAACAATGTTACCAGAAGAAAGAAAAGAAAACAAGACATCGCCATAATATTTTATGTCAAGAAATATAAACTTTAATGTACTTTTAACATATGCACACACTAACTGATTTCATTTAAGACTCAAAAAAAACAATCCAAAACCAACCTAAGATAAATATTGCATCACGAGGATGAAAGTTAAAGTTTATCGTTATCAAAGCATGCGACGCAGTGAAAAGATGTGCGCATTCAAGATATACCTACAGATACTTATCTTTTGTTTTTGCTTGGCAAGAATTGGTTTTTTTATTTTCATAGACTGAAAATGAAAAAAATTTGTTCTAATAATAGACTTTCATCTATATGACGATTTATTTGGAATAATTTCTATGCTATACTGAATTTAGTCTTTTAAACTTGGAATTCTCTCAAGACGAAATAGTTTTTTTGCTGAAAGACGCAAGATGAATTGTTTTTCTCGCAAGAAAGAAAAATTACTGTTCAATAAAATATATTTAAACTGAACTTTTTAGATATATAGAGAAAAGTGTAGTCGTAGATCGAAAGAAGACCAATACTCACATTCTACTCTATCGATCTATTCGAGGTCGATTCTTCTAGCGTATTCCATTCAAGAATTTGAAGTCCTGTATTAGAATTCTTGAAATCAACCAACTGACAACTGATCATTCTAAACTGTGTTGAGTTTGTTATATTCGCTTACATGGAGTTCAATGATGATATTTGTTTTTAGTTGTAAAAGGATCTGACGTTGAAAAATTCAAGCGTTTGTCAGAGTCCTAGAGAAATAGTCATCTCAGCAAGAAGGTCTCCCATGTAGTTTGTCGTGACGCTGTGACCCATGAAAAAATTCATGATCTAGCAACTTACGATCATACTGAAATTAAGAGTAAATATCACCATTGGAGTCAGCGTAGATGAATGCACTAAATTCAATACAGTTTAGAATGACTAGTAATCAATTGGCCGATTTCAAGACTTAAAGTAAAACGCATATGACTCATGAATGAAACAGACTAGAAGAGCTGCTCTTGCATAAATCGACAGAAATATGTCTCCACTGTTGATTTCCGAAGCTGGAACTTATTGGTAGTTTAGAAAGTTTTTTCAAGAACTTTTGGTTGAAATCTACAGCAAAATCTCTCGAACTTGGCTAATACATAATTCATATAATTCATCAAAGTTTCACTTGCTCCACAGTTAACTTTCAAATGGTGACAAACGCAAGTTTCTAGCTACTTTTGTTCCCAAGATATTCAAAAATTATTGAGATACATTATAATTTGACACCCACAATATTGAGAAGTGACATCTATAATATATATATTTGAACAACATTATCTTCAGTCCTCACTGGTATGCTGTATTACTATTGTTTCGTGACAGTTTGCAAAAAGTCCACCTTACTATCGCTAGCACACTCTATGGAAATTCGTCAAAATGCTCCCGCACTACCACCATCACCATTAGCGAATGTGATATTGACAGAAATCTTATTGGTGAAATTTTTACCATCCGTATCAAGTTACAATACATGAAAACAACTATTAACGATGTTCCTTATAAATTGATCTTTGATTGATGCCGAAAGTTTATGTTCAATTTTAACCTAAGGCAAAATTGAAGACAATATATATCTGACTATTTACTATACAACATTTGAAACACAAAAGAAAAAATGAATTTGGTCTGCTTCATTTTTTCGCTTTAGCAACTTCTGTTGTAAAATGTTGTTCTTTGTTCTTATTTTACTACTAGTTACACAATAGTAATGAGATTTATTGTCAATTTTTTCTTATTATGTTCACAGTGCTCATTTTTATATTCGTTCGCATTCTTACTAACAATCTGTCAGACAGTTAAGTAGGCCAAGAATAGGAAAAAAAAAATTAAAGGTAAATATGATCGACTGAAGTTGTCAAGTAAAACAGAAAGAAAGAGAAAGGTAGCCATTTTAGTGAATAGTAATACATTCGATGCAACGTGGTCGGTTTGAAAATAATGTCACTCACTATTCTCTTTTTTGTTTTAATAAGAAAGTCTCAAGTAACGTCTTTTTTTATTAGACATTACTATAGTGTTCGCAAACCAGTTGACTTTTGTCGAAGAAGTAAAAAAACTCGCGTCTTATTTGTCTTGAGATTTGTATAAACATTCGAATAAAGTTAGTTATGCTTAAATAATTACAAAGCTTCGAAGTTTAGAAAAAAAATAATATAATTGTATTTATATATCACAACATGAGCTCTTGAAAATTGTTATTTTCTATTGAAAGGCTTAGACAACGAAGAGATTTTTTTCTTGAGATATTCAAGAATAAATAATACCTAGTTTATCAATGATCTAGTGCAATACATCTAAGATTTATTGTGAATTAGTGATCATAATAGTTAACTTTACCATTTGTTCGTACAATTGATGTAACATTTAGCGCTGTTAAGGAATAGTAACATTAGTAATTCTTTATCAACGTTAGAATCTGGACTGTCTTTCTTGTTGAATCTCTATTTGTCCTTGAATCTTTTTTAAACAAATATTTATTATAGAAATGAAATTCCCACATCCTGATTCTCGAATATTGCCTCATCAAATATTATGCAGTGCTGCACCACTTAATTTAACATCAATGGAACTAAAAAGGGTTGTCGGTTCGCTTGTTGGTCTCGCCGTTGGTGATGCACTTGGAGCTAGCGTTGAATTTCGTCCTCGACAATATCTTGTTGATCATCCTGTAAAAGACATGGAAAGTGGAGGCACATGGGGTCTTCGAGCTGGTCAGTGGACAGATGACACTTCCATGGCTTTATGTCTAGCTTCATCACTCATCACTCAACATCGTTTTAATTCTTACGATCAAATGGTACGCTATAAGTGGTGGTATAAAAAAGGTTTTCTCTCATCAACTGGCGAATGTTTTGATATCGGTACAACTACTCGAGCTTCACTTGATGAATTTTCTCGTCGACAAAATATTCTCAAACAATATTTTCGAGGCATGAAGGATGATGACATCGATCACTTGTCGTTAGAGCAAGTTAGAAGTGTGCACAATTTTAATGAATATTGTGGTGTATCAGGACAAGCTGGTAATGGTGCACTAATGCGTCTTGCTCCTGTACCTCTATTTTACTTTCGACAACCGAAGAACGCTATTAGATATGCAGGTGAAAGTGCTTGCCTTACTCATGGTGATCAAAAAGCAGTTGACGCTTGCCGTTATTACGCAGCTCTTATCGTCGCTGCAATCCATGGAGAATCAAAACAGCAACTATTAAATGAGCAATTCTACGAAAAGCATAAACAATGGTTTGGATCTGTGAAACTTCACGATGAAGTTCTACGTGTAGCTCGAGGATCGTACAAAAAACAGGGCGGCTATAAAGATGGCATTCGAGGAAAAAGTTATATTATCAGTACGTTAGAAGCTGCTCTCTGGGCATTTTGGTCCGATGAAAACTCTTTTGAAAGAGGTGTTCTTAAAGTTATTAATCTTGGTGATGATACTGATACAACCGCTGCCGTATATGGTCAATTGGCTGGTGCATACTATACTGTATCAGGTATTCCCAGACGCTGGGGTCAAAAACTGTATGCCAATAGCTTAATTATTGACGTCGCTGAATGCCTTTACGTCGAAGGAAGCCAAAGTAGAAATGATACGGTTCAACAACACCCACCGGCAAAAAGCCAAATTACAACGCAGCATCAGAATCAATCGACAATACCAAAATCACAATTTAATCAACAGCATGATTCTTACAAATTGAATCAGCAAACTTTATATGGAGATTATAAGGATCGCATAGGCTATGATATTCTATCTAAACAACCACGATCTCAATCACTTCCTGCTACTCATTCGCACACGAAAAATTCGTATGGTCGACGACAAAAAAAAAGACTAGATCCTAGCATTTTACCACCTGCTGGTGTACCTAGTGGTTATTAGACAAGTTAGACATCTTATGGGAACCACAACAATCAGAGAAATCTTAATCACTTACTAACATCTTTGTTTCCAATGGGAAGATACACATTTTTGCTAATATCTTCACTTCCAATAACTCAAAAATTTTTCTAATTTGTTTTGAAAAGATATCCTTTTTTTATATTGAATAGAGAAAAATTTAGTAATTTTCTTAATATGTTAGAAGAATTGCAGATTCAATGTAATTGCATACTGTGATGAGATGATTAGAATACAAGAAAAAGAAATCGATAATAAATTGATAGTAGAAATGCTTTGTTCCATACAATTTGTAATTTTATTTTAAATTATAGTGAAAAGTGAATTTTAGACAATTATTGATTCTTACAACGGATGTCATATTCTCATTATCATTAATATGAAGAAAGAATATGACGTTGAAAGAGAATTCGAATTTTAATCATTCTACATCGTTACAAGATTGTTATCATCTTAATCATCATCAAATAATATCTGTTGTCATTCAAATCTGCATTATTTATTGTGAGAAAGAGTTCAAATTATACTTTGACATTTATGTTAACTATATACTCAACACAATATTTACTTTTATAATGTATATGTTTAGAGTAAGAGCAGTAGCAGGTGACTAAAAGAAGCTTCTTATGAATGAGAAAAGATCATTAAAATGAGAACATTATATAAAACCAAATTGTAAAAATTCTGATTATATATATTAACAAGAACATTAGATCTTTCAATATGTTGTTGCCTACCTATGCCTTGTATATAAGAAAATAACACAAACAAATTATTTTTCTTTCACTTAGCCTTTTACAATATTCTTTTATTTTGTACATGAAGCATTAAAGCAATTATTATGTCTCAATTTTGTTGTTTTAACAAAATATGAAAGTAATTTCAAGAGCTCTGTTTTAATTTAATCCACTACTAAGAATGTTTTGTCGACATTGTTTGTAAGATACTCAGCGTCATCGTGTACTAATAGAAGCAATTGAATTGCATAATTTTACATCTCTTCCATGGAATAAACATATCAAATGGAGTTGTGGTATAATGAATAATAAAGTTTATCTTTAAAAAAACCAAGCTCTTGTGAATAGAAATATGACTGCGGCTATGTTTTTTATTGTCAAAATTTATGATATATCACCAGAGAAATCAGAGTAATTTATTTAGAAAAATTTCGAAAACATGAATAAATCAAAATAGTAAAAATTTTTACAGTAGGCATACTTTGAAATTTTATCATTTCACACATGTGTACATTTAGAATGTTTTCTTTTGCCGTACTACATACTAAAGATTGTAGCAGTTCGACTCATTAGAATTTACGGTAGAACTCTTGGATTTACACAATGTTTCAGAAGATTTTAGAAATGTCAAAAATGATCTAAAGTCTGTTATTATTGATGCGTCGTTTTCAGTTATTACAAAAAGGTATTCAATGACCTTTGACTGTCCTTCTCTCACCCTCGACAACTAAGATGTAGAGGAAAGTCGCGAAAAAAATTCGATTTAAACTTTCACTCACTATATTTTCTTCGAAAATATAAGAAAGTTTCACAATAATAAGACGAATCATGTACAACAGCATTAACAAAGAATGGCTTTACTTGACACGTCAATATTTACTAACTATATTTCTTTTATTCATGTAAATTATATTTAATCACTGATTATAATGTAGAAAGAAATAACACATGCATATATAAAAGATTAATTAAGTCTTTGGAAAATGTGTATATCTATTGCCATAATGCTTGAAATTTATATTGACCTGAGCCAATATAAACTGTCATTAAGCCTGTTGTTGAATCTTTTTCAATATCAAATCCTTCAACATGTCTCTTACTAACATCCGATGACCATATAACCTGTTGACCTTCAATCAATGTTCGACATTGTCCACCAATAAATAATGGCTCAAATATAACACGTGCTCGTGCATTTGGTGGTATAGTAACATGAAGTAAAATTGAATTGGCAACTATATCATGTTCATCACGTGTATAAGAAACATGTACAAGACCATATAATGTACTTAATTGACAATCTAATTTTGACATAAGATGTTTTTTAGTTTCAGAAGCCATTCGAGGTCGAATAGTAATTATGTTTGATGAAATATCAATACCAGCTAGATGTGAATAAAACCATGCACCGACACTACCATACATAATATGATTACGAGAGTTCATTCCAGGTCCTGTAAGTGGTGCATTCCAAAGTTCCCATATAGTAGTAGCATTTTCATAAGAATTTGTAAACATATAACCATAAGATGGATAAGTTGTTGATGATATTAATTCAAGTGCCAAATCATGATGTCCATTGTCAGAAAGAACTGGATAAATTTGAGCTGTAGATACGATACCTGTTGTTACATGTATACCTTTTTGATTGATATCATTAACGAGTTGATTGATAACTGATTCTCGAACATTGCTCGGTACAACTCCAGGTAATGCTAAAGCAAGAACTTGTGCTGCTTGCATTCCATCTGCATAAAAATTTGATGATGTTGAAAAAAATACTTGATGAAATTCTTCGGCAAGTTTTTGATATAATATTGTATAATTTTTAGTATCTTCCTGCTTACCAAGTACTTGCGACATGTTAATTAAAAGATAAACATCATGAAGAAAAGCAAATGATGAAATTAAATGTCTATTTGTCATTGGTTGTGGTGGTGGTGGAACCCAATCTCCATATTTGACAGGAAAATTAGCAAGACCTGTTAAATTATAAACTCTGCAAAAATATTCTACATAGGCAACTACATGATCATAATAAGCCTCTAGTATATGAACATCATTATAATGTCGATAAACTTGCCAAGTTATTGTTGGTAATGCAGTGCCCCAATTCGGATCAGGTGGATAACTGTCCCCTGGTACAAAATCAGGTACTTCACCATCGTCTCGTTGAACATCAATGATCAAATTGAGAAAGTTCTGATAGAATTTGATTAAATCAAAATTATACAATGCTTCATCAACACTTAATGCTGCATCGCCCATCCATCCTCGACGTTCATTACGTTGTGGACTAGAAATGAATCAAGAAGAAAACTAAATTTTAACAAAATATATCAATATAACAGACCAATCAGTAGGCAACGACATAATGTTACTTAATTGACCCCATTGAATGTTATGTTGAATTTGATTGACGACAGGATTACTCGTAGAAAAATGCCCTTTCAATGTTGTTTCACTATGAACAAATGGACATTCAACATCATCAATTGATAACGAATTTGGTGAACCAAATATAGACAAATAACGAAAACCATGAACAGTAAAACTAAAAAAGGAATAAAAGAAAAAGTTGTTAGCACAATCCCTGTTGGATTAAAATATGAAACACGATGTGACTGCTTTTAATAATTACAGACAGATTGCTTTATTCTATCTGTTTTCGAACCCTTGTCTTCACCCTCCGGAAAAGTCATAAGGAAGCAGTTCATATATAGAACAAGACGTTATTGATACATTGTCTTTGATGGAATATCAACAACACTTTGTACGATCTGGGATGGATCTACAGAGTCTCTATTATAATTTATAAGAATAGGGAGAGGGGACAAAGTTCTACTCTCTATACATCAATGCTCTTCGTTCAGGTCGTATTTCGCAAAATCAGTATGAGTGAATGCAACACCAAGAAAAAAACAAAAACCATACGTCGGTTCGTAGATTTCATTAACAGGATCACCACGTAGTACATAAGTGTCAGATGCTGTAGCCTCACGAAGATTTTCTGTATAGATATTACGAGCAGATTGACTAAAAACGAATATGTACACATAATAATATGTAAAACTCTTAAGGTTTTACTTGGTAGATATAACTGGTTGAGTAAGTACTTCACCATGACGAATATAAACACCAAAACCAGATGGACCATGAAATCTCAAACGACACCATCCTGCCATATTTTGACCCAAATCAAATGTTCGAACACCTATATAACATTTAAAATAAAAACAGATATCTTTCATAAAAAGAAAACATACCTGAATCGGATTCCCACATGGCAATAGGTTTTAGTGTTCCGCCATCGGTTAATTTTGCACCTTTGATCTCGCCTAGATCTTCAAAATTCAAAAAACCTTGCTGTTGACTATCTTTTATAACTTCAAAATGTAATGCATCTGATCCAGCTCGAATTGGTGGCATATCTTGAAGAACTATCATACCATTACGTGAACTATTTATTGGTGATGACATTGGCTCAGGTATGATCCAAGCTGATAAAGAATCATTAAATCCTGCTCGAGACCAATTAGATCGATCATTTCGACTATCACATATTTCACCATTATAAACACTATCATGTTTAATAGAACCTTCTCGACCAGTCCACGTTCGATCACTAAAAACTTGCATTTCTTCACCACTTTCAAAAGTAATAATTAAGATGAAAATAAGACGAGGTGGCCCTACAATTTTCAAAAATAAAATCTTTAAAAGAAAAAAAAAAGATAAATTCTCAATTACCATAGTTAGATTCACCATGTTGTTCTTGACTGTACCAACCATTGCCCAATTTAACACCAACAGCATTCATACCAGGCTAAACAAAAATATGTAAATGAACTTTGAATAATAAAATAAATGAAAATTCTAACCGTAATATTCGTTGATAAATCGAATGAAACAATAAGAGTACGTTTTTCGTATGTTGTCCAACCAGGATCCAATTTTCGACTGGGATCTACTTTATTACCATTAAGATAAAATTCATAATAACCAAGACCAGATATATAAGCAATCGCTGATTTAATAGGACTAGCATTGGGAATTAAGAATTCTTTTCTTAATTCATTCATATTGATTTTTGTTGAACCAATCCAAAGAAGATTATCATTTTTTGTCATATATTCATGTAAATTGAATATAGGTGTACGAAATTGAATCCAATGTGTCCATTCACTAGGTTCTTCTAAGTTTGTTATCCAAACTCGTACACGAAAACGATAATATTTTGATGGTAAAAGGTCACTTAGACCTGTATATGGTACATGAATTGATTGTGATGATATAACACGTTCACTATCCCATTCAAATTGTTTATCTCGTTGAATTAATTTAATCGATTGAAGTTGCATTTGATAAGCTATTTGTTGAACATTTCGTTGTAATAAATTGTCCGAAACAGAAATTTTCCAAGAAAATCGAGGTCGTGGTGTATTGACAACTAAATCATGAATGGTTTCCACTTTATGATGATCGATACGTACGTCGAAAGGTGATGGCCAACGTGCATCGACTATTGACCAAAGTAGCAGTAGAAACAAATTACGATAGTAATGTATATATCGCATAATTGTAGTTTATGATGTGAAATAAAATATAAAAATGTTAGCTTTCTAGCTCTTTGTTTTTTCTTTATATATCGACATGCATTTTATCATCTATTCACTTTGTTTGCTCATACTTTATCGAAATCTGGCTTGTTGAAGTAAAAAAAAAAGATAAAAATAACTATCAACACTTAAAAGAATAAAATGTGTAATAAATAATAAAAAGAATATTTAAATTGATGAAGTAGTTCATCTAGTCATAACTGACATTAAATGAAACAATTAAATTCAAATCAATGTTAAATATTACGACTTTTTAATAGTATGAATCAGTCTCATCCAATATCTTGTAGATAACCAATGTGTATAGCAGTCTAATGTGATAAATGAACCGACAAAATGAAGACTAAAATGATATTTGCCCCTTTCCTATAATGTAGTTGCCAAAGTTCTTCGACTTTTCAATGAACTTTCATACAATATTTTTTGAATCATCTATCTTCTCGTTGAATGTTCAGAAATATTGATTAATACAATATCTTCCAGGTTAAAGAGAAATACTCATAAAAGAGTATAAATGAAAACATACCATCATTTACGAATCTAAAGGGTCTTCATCTATTTTTTGTTTTTAACTACGGCAATATTTTATTTAAAATTAGATTTTTCTATAAGTGATGCAAATTAGATTTTAAATATTCTTTTCGGTAGATTTCACTTATTTCATTAAATTTAAAGTCATTCTCCAGAATTCTTCATGTCACCTAATGGTTAAATCTATCTTAAAAAACTTGTTATGATCTTTTGTTGTAATCCCACTTTCATTAAACTTATTTTCACAAGTCAATGGAATGTTGAAAACAACATATACACGAATACACTGTGCTGTCGGAAACAAAAGTATTAATTGAAATTATTGTTGATGGTCAATGGCCAAAAAAAAAAGAACTAATGTTTTTCTCAATTGATTCAATAACATGTGCAAAATCAGATTTAGAAATTAACTAAGATACCCTAAATTTTCTAAATGTGAAAAGAATCGCATAGAAAAAAAGTTCAATTTTTTTCGAAAACACGGATACTTCTCTTGATAAAAACGAATCCTTCGAGTTTTCAAGAACTGTACTACTTGAAAATATATTTTGAAAAGCTAAAAGTCAACTTTTTTACTCAATCAGATGCGATCTTTCTAATAATATATAATTTAGCTGAATATAAAGCTATAAACGTTGTTTTGAACTCCCAGCATCTTACAACCATCCAGAGTTTTCAGAACGTGTCACTTTCATTAGTAAATTAAAATAATCATTCCCTCCTAATGAGTTCATCTTCCTCGTTCTGATATTAAAAAAACACACTTGATAATCTTACATTTTCTGTTCTTTTCACGCCACATCATGCACACATCAAATTCTCACGATTAACATCTTATGTATTTGACTGGAGAATTTTTCAATACAAAGGAACAGAAAGAGCAGCTAAGTTCAGAACTCTCATAGCCAACAAATATGGCAGCTCAAAACTTACATGTTACTCTTACTGTTAGATCACACTTTTGAACTAATTATTTCAGAAGCGCTAATCAAGGAAAAGAATTTTTTTTATCTTAAATAAAAGATTATAATTGAATGATTTATTTGAATAATGTGTAGATTCTTTATTCGAAGAATTCCATAATATATGTGATGGTCCTCTTTCTTTGAGTTAAAGCAAAGTTATTCTTGAAATCAAAGTGAAAAAATGCAATATTCCGTTCGAAGTTGTATGATTTATGCACCAAAGTATACCAGTTCAAATCATTATATTACATTGTAAACTGATAATAACTAGAGAAAAAAGTCTTCAAATATTTTTATGAAAAAGAGAAAGTATCCTTCTTGTATAACTCAGAAAGTAACAAACAGGATTTATTCATGATGTATAATATTAGAAGTAAAACAAACAATGATTCGTACATTCTGTCGATTTTTATTTTCTTTGACCAAATAGAAACATATCAGTGTCATGCTCACCGACTTCTATGTAAGAAAACATGTATCACTATGTAAATTTTAAGAAATCGATAATGAAGACATTTCTCTATCTATTTGCAAAAGTTTGACCCTTCTAACTTATTCTAATCACCAGTTATAAGCTTTATACTGAAAGCCTCGAAACTGATCAACGAGTCATTGGTCATTCTAAACTGTATTGAGTTTGATGTATTTGTTTACACGAAGTCCAATGATGATATTTGTGTTTAGTTATAAAAAGATTTGACGTTGAAAAGACAAGATGCTGAAAATACTTCAGCTAACTTTAAAATCTTTGTATAAACAGAATAGAAAAAAGCATAATCGAACAACTTACGATCATATTGAAACTACAAACCGATACCACTAATTTCAATAAAACGTTTATAACTCGTGAATGGAATACGCTAGAGGGATCGGCCTTGCGCAGATAGCCAGGTAGATGTCTTTACTATTAATTTCCTAAACTGTAATTCATTGTTAGTTTAGAAAGTTTTTTTTCGAAAACTTTTAGCCAAAGTCTAAAGCAAAAAATCGGCAGTTTGATCAATATATAATTCAGATAAATTAACAAAGTTTCAATTTCGAATGATGCAAAGCGCAGATTGCTAGCTACTTTCATTCTTGACATATTCAAAAAATATCGAAATACATTATATTTTGATACCAACAATACAATGGGTATAATAATGACAAGAAATGTTGAACATTTGAAAAAAAACGTGAAAATAACTTCACTATTAAATTCGAATAACTATTTGATATTCATATGTAAATTTAACGTTGGCGTACATTTGATTTGATTGTATCAGCAAAAGAAAAAGTATAAGATATTATTACATACGCTTTAAAATACCTTGAATATCTGTTCGTTTACCATACGATTCATACTTTAATATGTTTTATTTCAAAATGCAAACACCCGATGGAGTTTGAAATACAAACGAAATTCATATTAGAGGTGAACGTTTCTCATGAACTTTCTTCATCATTCTTTCTATAGTGCTCTTTTTAAATAATTCCTTTTTGATATAGTTATATTGGTAAATTTCAAACACTCTACTATTACATAATTAAATTTTTATTCTATTTTGAGAACATGAATTCTAAAGAAGATAAAATGATAGTCATTAGCGATCACGTATTTTTTCAAAATGTAAAATGAATATTCAGCATTCGCCTTTGAATAAGTACGGAAGAAGCCCATCATGAGATTCACAGCTTCTATATTAAAAAAAACTGTCCTCCTCTTGTCAGCATGCATTGCTTTTTTTGGAAGAAATATCGATAATAGTTCATGTGTTTAAACTCAATAACTACTATGAAACTTTTTATTGGCGTACCACAACGAAAAAATAGCGACAATAAATATATAGTTCAAAAAAAAAACATGTGACCCTGTATCTGTTCATTCAAATAGTTTTAGTTTTCTTCTTGAGAAAAAATTTACTCATCATTATGAGTTACTTTGCTTGATTAGATAGTGCAATATTTTAGAGAAAGTATTTGACTGAGACGTTACACTCACCTTCATATAGACTGAAAACCATCATTTAAGAGGAAAAAAAACTAGCTCCAATTTGATCAAACGATGTATGGTGCATCGGTTTTTTTAAGAAATGATGATTTCGTTAGAAGAAACACGTCCCATCTTTTAGAACTTTCTTATATGTCGGATATACATCATACTCCTTTAGCCTTATGTTGTTCTTTTTACATAGCGACATTATTGGTTAAAGAAATTGCTTTGCCTTTTTGAAAATGTTGCAAACCTAACAACATCCTGTCATTATCGAACTCAGCATGACTTCTACCTATAGAACACACATCGATGATCTCATTATCAATCATTATATTAATAATCTGAGGGGCAAACTTTCAAAAATTTGTATTTTATTATTTTATATATACAATTCACCAAGTTATATCAAGAATACTATCAATATGGCTTCGACTTTAGCCATGCAATTGATGTTCATTCAACAATATATGGGATTGTTAATGATAATTTATGTTGTCTTTGGCGTTATTGGCAATCTACTCAACTGTCTTGTCTTTCTTCGAAAACAACTTCGATCAAGTTCGTGCTCATGCTATCTATTGGCAGGTTCTATTGCGAATATTATCGTATTGCTGTTTTTGGCATCAACAAGTATTAATGGGATTGGACAATCCGATCCTACTAGTGGTTCGTTGGTTTTTTGCAAATTACGTGGGTATATTGGACATGTTATTATCATGCTCTCGCGTACCATGATCGTTCTTGCCTGTTTTGATCGTGCCTGTATCTCATCCAGTAAGGTATCTATGCGAAATCTTGGTAAAGTACGAATTGCTCTAATAATTATTTTGTTGTGTACTTTGATTTGGATCGTCATCTCAATTCATGTGCTCATTTGGAATACAATTATCGCTGGTAAATGCTCGAAATCAAGTCTATACAATACTATCTTCGGAATTTATGTATTTGTTATTGTCGCAGTAGCACCACCTGTACTCATGACAATATTCAGTGTAACTACACTACGTAATATACGTCTTGCACATAGAGTTGTTCATCCGACATTAACACCCAATGGAATGCGTCAACGTGATTATCAACTGACGCGAATGTTAATAGCAGAAGTAGTCGTATATATTTTGTCTACACTACCTTTTCCAGCTAATGCTTTGTATAATATAGTAACAATGTCAGTAGCCAAAAGTGCTGATCGACAAACAATAGAAGCATTTATCAGCTTTATAACATCGACTTTTCTTATATATATCAATCCATCTTCAACATTCTATATATACTTAGCTACATCGAAAACGTTTCGAAGTGAACTCAAAGCAACTTTTAATAATATAGCATATCGAGTTTTTGGAATTCCTCAGCGACCTCAATTGCCAACGGAACTTAATAGAACAATTATCATATAGTAATGCATATTATTTAGACTTATTGTTGTTTTGTTTTCCTAAAACCTAAGTTGATATTGTGCTGTTCATCTATATATGTTGAGTAGTGTGTCATTTGAATATAATCAAGAAATTAAATAATCACATATTCACAGTCTCAAGTCTGTAACTGTTTAAGAAAAATGAATAACACAATGAACAATATCAACACAATAGTGTTTACTATATAATAAATGAAACGTATACATCGTATTTCATTGTTGATACGCGCAAATCCTTTGCACACATTTAGAATAGATAGGTTTTCAATATTTTTAAATAACGATTATGTAATCAATAAGAGAAAATGTTATTCTTTTTCATAGAAGCAATGTTGTTGTTGATAGAAAACGGTTCGTATTTGAACTGTTTACAAGGCGATACAACTAATTACATGTATTGTTAAAATATTCGGAAATCAGCGCTTTTTCAAACTATTCTTATATTGAAAATATTATCGTGTGTGACCAACAATTTACAGTTTTATTATACTCTATTATGATCTTTTGAAACGCTGATGGCTTCTACCATATATAGTATTGACATTTTTAATCTGAGATTAAGAATAAAGAATGCCGCTGCTTAAACGATATGATCTAAAACATATCTTGAATCTATAGAAATAAAATCATGCATGATTTAACAATCGTCTCAGATAAATTTTTATCAACATATTCAATGTATATACACTTTGAAGTTTTTCTTGTCTCATTTCTAGCTGATGTTTCACAAAATCATATGGAATAAGACCTCTATTAATACGTGTTAGACGAGATCTTACAGTTTTTAAAGGATTGAATAACAAAGAAAAAACGAAAAATATAATAACAAAGAATAGATTTTATAGTTTTAGATAAAGTTATGTTTACCTTTAATTGAAATCTAGTTGAACCTAGAAAGTTGTAGAATTTGCCTAAATATTCGACTTTTATCGATATTTATTTGTCTTCGAATTTGACTAACTATATTGATGATATTTTAAGTATGAATATATTGAGTTAGGCTCCAACTAATAACAATGAAGAACTTTTTTAGCTCACGTAGTCCTTGTGATATCATAATAAATGTCTTCTCTCAGAATTCTATGCTTAAAACATAAATCTGTTGATTAACTTGGTCATAGATATGCTTTCGAACATGATTCGCTGATATCAACGTAGAAGAAGAAATTCGTGCATAAATAAGAATATGAATAGTGAAAATCAATATTCTGTCTACTTAGAAATAAAAAATATACGTTTTGTTTTCTTAATGAGAATGAAAATTAAAATTAGATTTTTAAATGAAATAAAAAATAATTTCGTTGTCTTGCGCCTAATTAAAAATGAAATCTGCCTATATTTATTTTCACGTAAGATTTAATTTTACCATTGATAAATATTTAATCTCTCTTCCATATTCACTGTATCAGTATACGAAGTAGTTCGATATTATTACATATACTATCTAAGAACAGCATTTTAAAGCTGATTGAATCATTTCTAAGACTATCACTAGTTTAGAACATGAAATTTGTGCGGGTCTAAGACGTATACAACAGAACTACTACGCTAGATTATGATTATATTCTAGTTTAATTGTAAAAGTACTAAACAGTTGTTAATAGTAAGAAGAGTAGATGCTAAGACAATCTATATGAATTTCTATTTATCTATTCTTTTTCTTTTCATAGGAAAATATGACTTCGAAAAATTTCCGAATCGGAAACTAGAGAAAATTCTTATGTCAATGTACTTCAATGTTCATCAGAGATCAGTTTACTTTAAAGTTGTTTTGTACTACTTCGTAACAATTTTAATACTAATAATATCCTATGTTAATGGTAATCTAATTTCATGATTTTTTTTTACCTACACCAATATGGTACAAGTCTCAATATCGTTCATGATACTTTTGTAGTATTCAACTTCATGACTAGTAAATGCAAACAAAATAATGTCAGAATAGATCAGAAGTCGTTAAAAGAAATATCAATGTATACTTGAAAAACGAGTTTCTCACTTATGTTTTGTGTTGTCAAATTATGTATCGTATATCGAAGAATTTCATGTATGTTGACATGTTATAACACATTAATGATAACTGAACAAGGCTTCATTCAATGTTCTGAATATGTAAAATTGAAATGAAATTGGCTAGGATCTAAGTGCACTCTAAGTAGGCAAACCAATATTAATGTATATTATATATTGTCTAACATGACGTAAACTTGACCAGCAATATTGACTTCTTTAAACATGAATGTACTTAGAAAATATATTACGATGTGATTTTGTAATTCATAATACTCTATGTTAATTCATTTTTTAAAATAAATTTTATAAACTATTAACTTGATAATTCTAGAATTTATGTATAATGATATTGACCCTAATAACCTGATGAATTTATTTAGTAGCACGAGCAAAATGTAAACAAATTTAAACTTTTCCTTTCAAATAAACTTAGATCTTGATGCATTAGGTTAATTTTAATATTAGTCTAGTTCAGACTATTAGCATCTAATTGCAGTCTTTTGCTATTAGCACATTGTACTTCTTATCGGTTGCAAATTTTGTCCATATTTACCGTCTTGTTTGATGAATGAGCAAAATAAAATCAGTTTAACAGAAACCAATGTTAGAGAATTCAATAAAATGAAACCTCGATGAATACCTTTAAAAGCTTCGCAAGATCTGGCTACATCAAATGGTTCTATGACTACCATAAACAAACAACGTGTTAATTTAGTAGAGCTCTTTTTCCTTATAATCGCTTGAGATCTTGTTAACCAGTTATTTTTATTAAAGAAGACCATGCTGATTTACACTTTGTTTATTTCATTGAAATTTAATAATGACCTCATGAACTATATAGTCGGTTGACATTCACATTCGTTAAAACATATAAATTAAAAGGAACGAGTAGCAAAAGAATGATTCAATTCATGTAAGAAATTTCTTGTTGGAAATGCATGATTGTCAAAATTGTGTGAATAATTAATAGTTGATTTGTTAGAATAGAAAAAATATCCTATGGCATGTGATTGGTACTAGTGATTGAGATATACATTTTTCACTAATGGCTTTAGCAATAGGCATTTGAAAGGGTAGTACATTTGTTTTTTCATTGTAAACTTTTACGTCTAATATAATAAAGTGTAATTTTTTTTTAATGGATGTTATTCAACATACAAACACAAAGTAGAAAAAAAATTCTAGAGAGAATATTTTTATAAAAACTTTCATGTATTTCCCCTAACAAATTGATCATAATGAATATAAATGTTCTTTTTTGCTTTAAAAAGTGTCAATACAGAAAAATATTGATCTGAACTTCAAAAAGAATATAAATGTATTTACAAATAAGTGTAAAAATGTTAAAGTGAAGAAACTGTATCTTATGAAAATTCATGAGTACTTTTTTCTGTATGCATTAGTTTTCATTATAAAATAAAGTATAAGGGAAAAAATGAATCAATTAATGAAAAAATTTTTCTATTTTCTTGTTTAATACTTTCCGAGAAAGGAAACTAATTTCTAAATTGACTCTTAAAGAAATAATCGACTAAAATGTGTAGTTTATTTCTGGAAATATTTCTTTATTCACTGAGTTCATCTACCATTACATTGTTGATTTCAAGGGTTTATTTAAAGACTGGTGTAAATATAATTAATTGAATCTACCAATTGTGATACAGGTGTTGGTTTCTGTTTTACTTGATCAAAGTGTAGAATTATTAGTTTGTATTGTGTCCTTTTTATAGATTTTTTCATGATCGCAGATAATCATTTTGTGTACATATTTATTTTTTTATAAATATGATCTATTAGAAAGAGAAATTTTTAAGAGAGAATGTATGTTTATTTCTTATGAAAGCATAATATTTTCTTTTCGAACGAATAGATTCGTCTTTAGTTTTTAAATATAATAAATTTGTTCATGATTTATTTCAGTATATATTTTTCGATAAAGAAAAAAAAGTCAGTATTCTTTAATTTAAAGAAATAAAATTGATGTTTCATTAAAATACATGTCATTTTTAACTCAATATTGACTATAGATGAAATATCATTATTTTTATACTTGCAACATACACATACAATCTTTGATGCTGTGTTTTGGTTTCTGTAATTAATGCAGAGTTGAAAAAAAACAAAAAAATAATATTCTTTTTCGTTATGTTTGTCTTTTGTACTTCAAGAATGAAACGCTGACGCAAACTTATACATAGTTGTTGCATTGTTTCGCTTTTTACTGTTAAAATTTTTTTCTTTTTACAATATGAAAGAAAAGGACGACTTTGCTCTTTGTCTTTCTTTCTTTCTTTCTTGTGAACACTTAAAAATGACAGAGTAGGTGGAAAGCATAAAAAAAAAGGGAAAGAAAGAAAAAAAAAAAAACGAGAATAAATAAATTGGATGTAAAAGTGAAAAATTCAGGCATAGTATTTTTTCTCAACAACACCAACAGTAGATCAGAAGCAATTGTTTTTAAACATTCATTCATCGTGAAATATGCCGTCTATAAATCCAGAAAGCTTTAAGAAATCATGGCCTAGATGCTTCGTGATATTTCTTGGTATTGTTGAAGTTGTGGCTGCTATTGTTCTTATAATTACTGAATTGGGTAATGTCGGAGCAAATTTTTGGACAACAAATGTATTTGCTGGTGGTTGGTGTGGTCTGATAATGATTATACATTTCTTTGGATTATTTGTTGCTGGTAAGATCTTTTTATTTAACAATAAATATGAAACTACTTAAATAAAATTTCTGCAGGATGTTGTGCACCAGGTCCACCAGCTGCTTTCCGTGCAGTTGTAATAACAGTAATAGCTCTCTTAGCTTGCGGTGCATTGATTGGATTTGATGCTTATTTTATTGCACAACCAACAACATGCATATTAACATCATCATGCAGTTCTAATGCTGCATCAACAACAGTGTTCAGTTATTCTTTTCGAACCAGTTTTTTTACAGCATTCAATAGTCTTAGTGCATTTAAAAGTTATTCGGAATCGCAAACGAAATATCTCTTTCAAACAATTCAATTAAGTATTGGTTGTTTATGCTTCGTACTTTGTATTATCTATATGGTTATTTATTATGTAACACGAAACAAATCTTTAGGAAATGTAGCACCTCATGAAAATCCACGAACATCCAATTTTCAACAACAACAACAACAACAACAACGTGGGGCTCAACAACAACAACAAGGTCAAACTCAATGGAATGCCAATAGAAGATACTAACATTATTCATTAAGTTTTAAAAAAAAATCATTTTAAATACTCTCACTATTTTCTTTTCTTTTTTTTATATTCCATAAAGACTTGAAAACCTCTTTTTACTTACAAGAATATTATTTCACCAAGAAACATACAAAGTCATGTCTGAATAATGTCTTTTTTTCTTTTTCTTCTCATATTTTCTGTGATTGAAATACTAACATATAATGCAAACAGAGATTGATGAATAAAATTCATATACGTCATTGCATCATCTTGCTAACAAAAACATTAAACAGAATTCATGTAGGTCGTGAAGGCTTTTTTCTTTTCAGTTCTCATAGCAGCAATCTTAATATTTTTTTTCAATCAGTTTTTTTTCTTTGTCGTGACTCTTTGCAGAGAGAAGTAAGTCGGTCGGAAGAAACCTAGAAAATCAGACTTATAAATATTACATAGAGTGAATAGAATCATAAAGACTTGTGCTTTCGCTGTAATCACGTAAAGCTTTTTTTCCGTATATTATAAAAGAATCGAAGAACAAAACAATGTAGATGATGAAATATATTATAATGTATGGAGGAAAAGCTTAGTTTGAGAAGAAATGATTCAACTTAATAATAATCGTGTAGTTGAATAGATTGATTCTTCATTGATAATGAATATTTGATAAAAATTATAGTAAAGAAGATAGATACATTTATATATATAATCTATTCACTTGATTTATTTTTTCATCTCCTTTTTTTCAAGTGTAATAATCATTAGGTTGTTAGTTGAAAATCAATTGTCAAAGAGGTTAATCTATATCACTCGTATCAGTAAATGAGTGGTAATCTATTTCAGTTATTTGAAGATGAAGTGTTGGTAATATACAAACTTTAGTATATAGTAGAATCCTGTTATAAAGCAAAAAAAAACAATGAGATCTTCTAGGAATTATATTGATCTGAATGATCAAAATTTAAATAAATTTTAGATATGATATTTTTTTTCAATATAGATATGAGAAAGATAATTTATAATTCAATACTTTATTTCTTGAGAAAAAAAAGTGAAATTTTATTTTTGTCGATGCACAAAATTCAATTATACATATGTTAGGCAAATTTTAATAGAGTTTTTTAAAAGGTTTCAAAAATATATATATATATACATATATTAATTCATGTTCAACTTTAATTGAAGTCTAGTTACATCTAGAAAGTTGTAGACTTCGCGAGTATTTTCAATTGCTAATATAAGTTTCGATCAAAAGAAAAAAGAAATGATCTTTAAGGTTATATTTCTTTAGTAGTATTTTTTTTATCAATATCTATTTGTCTTCAAACTTAACATAATTGATTGATAATATGTAAAATCTCAATATATTATGTTGTTGAGTGATTTTCTAACTCAAAAAGTAAAGAATTTTCAGCTTATGTATTTTCCATGATAGAATAACAGCTCCCTTCTCTTGAAATTTAATAGTTCAAAAATTTAACATGTCATTTCGCTTGCTCATAACAAAAAACTTATGAAACTCATTTTTCGATGCTGACGCAGAAGAAGCCATTGGTGTATATATTACAATATGATTGAGTGGAAATGAATTGTATGTCTAATATAAGAAAGCCAGCACGAGCTCTATTTTCTTCATGCAAATGAAAATTAGAATTTTTTTTTTTTAATAAAAAAAAAAAGTCATTTCGTAGTTTTGCGTCTAATGAAAAACGAATTCTGTCTAAAAAAGGAGATTTGATAACTTTTGTGCGTAGTTCGATTGAAATAGTCAATACTCATGACATGTATATTGAAACAGACTTTTGATAGGAATCCGTCATTTTAATTGACTGATTTCAAGAGCAACCAGGCTATTTTGATATGATTCACTAACACTTTTCGAGTGCTTCGAAATGGAATAAAAAACAACAAGAAAAAGACACAGAACACTCAAAGAAATTCTTAGGAGACTGTTCTTGAGACATGATTTTATGTTTTTTTTATTGATGTTCAGTAGATTTCGATATGAAAATTACGATTTCGATGACAATTGATATGATATTCTGCATCAGCATCCAAAACTAACTGGACTTAATATGTATTTCATATATTTTCTCAAGCTTTTTTTTTTTATCAAAAATTACACTTTTCATTCTTTTGTTTATTCGTCTGTTATATAAAGTTCTACGATAATTTTAAATACTTAGAACTTGGTTTCTACTGTCAAAATAACTTGTTGAAAATTTATCTTTTACCGTATCATGAGGGAGATCGGAAGTAAATTTATTAACGAAAAAAAAGTTTGTGAAAATAATTAAAATATAAATTAAGTTCACTTTATTTGGAATACTAATTGAGAATATCATAGTAGTTTTCACCAAAATCGTATTTTTCGTATCGAAATCTATTCATTACTAGTAAACCTACATTCTGTAGTGCTTGAAAAGTCTCATCAAACCATATGAAAATAGCCTCACTGCTCATAAGATGATAGTTAAAAAGGACTGATTATTATCAATAGTCTGGTTCCATATATCTATAGCGGTTATAAACTATTTCAATCGATCTGTGCTTAGCACAAGTAATATACCATATGACTAACTTTATCAGAGTTCACCGTACAAACATCCTGTGTGATAATGTCACTCGAAAGAAATCAGATTTGTTGAGTAGACCAATTTCAACAATTATCGACCTTCTTCTGTTAATTTTGTATATGACATAAATTTCTATGAAAAAAAAATGTCATGATAACAGTTTTTAAATGCATAGAAATAATAATTGCAATCGTTGATAGGTTAGTGCGGCATATCAATTTGACATATTTTGAAGTAGATCACTTCATTATGAAAATTGAGTTCGTTTATTTTTGTTATCTTGACAAAATTAGTGATATAAATCATTTTTTTTTCTTTTTCACTTATTTGATGATGATATTTGTCTAATGCTTGTATTAAAAGTCAATGTTTTCTTTTTTCTATATCTAATCTAGATGTGAAATATTATTTATTTCAATGAAAAATAAAGTGTTTCGATTAATATTAATATAGTTTATTTAGTTTTTTTTTTTCGATGATAATTTCTTGATTTTAATTGTATTATTATTTTTTGATTTTACCCGAGTTTTATTATTCTTAGATTGTGATGATATTGATGATCGAATTCGATTAATACTTAACTTTCGTTGTTTAGTTGAATTTTGAATTCTTTTATTCATATTTTTATTTTTATTATTATTTTTTGGAGTTCGTCGTAATGAAGGTTTTTTACTATTATTACGTGCTGAATTTTTTTTCTTGTTTATTAATTTTGATTGATTAATAGTTTTTCGATAAATATTATTGGATTTTGTTGTATTCTCACTAGTACTATTTGATGATGATGATGCTGTATTAAATAATTGTGTAGTACCTTCTAGTGTTGATAATAAATGTTGAACTTTAGCAGCAGAAATACCACCGCAATCATTGCATACAATATTTTTTTGTTGAGTACGAAGAAGATCTTTAGTTGATGATGGAATTGAAGAAGCTATTTCTTGTATTTGTTGATAATTATTATTACGTGACATGAGAAGAAAGTTACAGAAATTAAAAGAAGAAATAAGAAGAAGAAATTTTGGCGCTATTCTTCACTAACGTTTATTAAATTAGTTGAGAGGGTATTTGATTATTATTAACATAAACAATGATTTTCAATCACAAAAAAAAATTATGTTCATAATATCAATTATTGAAGTCAAGATCAGCAAATAATTGATGATTTGTTTGTCTCGATCAAATTACATAAAAGAAAAAGATTCTGTTTGGAGTAGAACTGGATCAATAAATCTAGGCTATCTTTGGTTGAAAACTCGAGATGTTAGTAGAAACTAGGAAGCAAAAATTCGGTGGTCGGCTACACTTGGAACTATAAAAATTCGGTCATTGGAACTCCTGAATTGAAATCTCTATCATTTTTCTGAGTTTTTCAGCGGAAATCTGCACAAAACTCATAGATCTGGGTGCCAAAAACATCAATCGAGCCAGTTCGACAGTTCAAAAAAAAAATAGAATCGAACTGAAATCGAAATTTTTCGGTTTCTATTGGCCAAAATCTGAAACGTTAGAACTGGAAACTGCTCAAATGGTACATAATATGAAGGTGATGAAACGAATTTATAAATGCACTAGTGGTTACGCTTCAGTTGTAAACACGACGTATTTCTCATATTTGAATGAAAAAAGAGAAATTAAGAATGGGTAAAAGGATTGAAGAAATAATATTTAAGTAAGACCTAGAGTCATCGATACTTTATCAGTTTTGAATGATTTCCGCGCAAGAAAATTTTTCATGCATTCACTACGGCTAATTAACATTCATAATTATATTCATGCATGCTCTTTCTTTCTTTTGCTTGTTCAAAGAATAATAAACATGAACGAGCTTAAAAAGATGAAATAAAAATATCTAAGAAACTTAATACAAGCTATTTGATATATTATTACTGTATTACCGGTTCCAAAGATACTTTCTAGAAATCAAAATTGAAACGAAAGTTGTAGTTTTGAGTATTATATTAGCTCATTTTAAATACATAAACACATGACAAAAATATTTTGCATAAACTTGCATATGATTTATTCAATGTTTGTTTTATTGAATTTTGTTATACATTAAATGGAAATTTTAATTACTAAAACTTGTAGAAGTTTTTCATGAAATAACAAAAAAACAATTGTTCTCTTATTACACATCAAGAAAAATATTACATGCTGCAGGTGTAAGAATGTGAATGAATAGAGGCTGCACACTCACTAGAGCCCGTTAGATTAGACTTTTGAATGCGATGGAGTTTAATTGTTTTCACAATGTATAGGATATGCTAATCTCCAAATGCAAATGGGAAAAAAGTATCTCCTATCTTCGAAACAAACTATTCAATTTCAATTAAAAAATCTCATTGTGAGTATAAACGTACTATTCCGTCTGATCCCAGTTCGAAAAATTTGAATTCGTCGGGCTCTAAAATCCAGCAAAATCTACTGTTTAACTCTATAGAACTCGAATATTCATGGAATCGGACCGAAAATAATTAATCTTAATCTAATGAACAGACTGTTTTTGTTTTTGTAAAATGTATGAGAAAAAAAAAACAAAAAATCAACAAATTTATGAATTGTTGCCGTTGTTGTACTTAAATATCGTAAAAATTGCGCGATGATCACTTAATGTCCATTTACTATGATCATTCCATATTAAATGATTACAACCACGTGGAATTAATTCACTTGATATTGGTTGAAGATTATTTGACTTATAAAAAATAAAATCTACTCCTAATTGTTCATTTCTATGTGTTAAATGTGTTACATGTGGTTCGTAACCATTAATAAATTTATAAGATGATTGAAAATTTTTTTCTATTAATTGATAAACATTATCATTTTGATATGTTGAATTAAAATCTCCACATATAATAATTGAACATTGATTTAAAATATTTTTTGATACTTGATAATTATATATTAATTCAAGAAATTTTTTCATTTGTCTTAATCTTATTTGACGTTCAAATCTATAATGTGGAAATGTTAAATGAAGATTAATTAAAAGTATATTTTTTCCATTAAATTCAAAATTAAGTAAAAGTCCAATACGATGTCCAATATCATTTAATTTCATATTATATATATCAATAACTTTTAAATGATTCGAATCAACAAGAATAGCTAAACCATCATCAAGAAAACCTGTTCGTTGTAATGTATAAAATGAATATTTTGATGATAAATTTGATTTATATAATTGAATAAATAATGGATTTTTAAACCAAAATTCTTGTAAACAAATAAGATTAATTTCAAATGATTGAAGAAGATTTATTATTGATAAATGACGTTTTTGCCATAAAGAATCATAAGAACTTTCACGATCATATTCTGATGATAAACGTTTATAACATGGTGCTAGAATATTAAATGTACAAACTGATAATGTATCATTTTTAACATTCGATAAATTGGAAAACATTTTTCTAAAATTATTAGATAAGCAATATATTTTTTATATTTTATTCTCTATGAAATATATAAATCGAAGACTACCATTCATCAATATCAAAATAAAAAATTTACCAAGAATATTATTTCCAAAAAAAAAAACGAAGTAACACTCATTCGAGTTTTGAATTCAATTAAGTTAAATATAGATTTTTAAAAAAAAAGTCATATACTATTAACATACCTTGAATAAACAGAAGACATTGTCAATTGAAGTAAAACATAGGATGAAGAAGCAAAAAATCTATTAACCATGATGATCGCATTGATGCGCATCATCTACAAGACATGATCATTGTACTAATCAATCAATTCAAAGAAATATTTTATTTATTAAAAAAGAAAAATATCAAAAAAAATCTGTCTTCAACATAGAAAAACAAGTTTTACATAATATATTACAAAACAAAAAAAATTATATTAATCAATCATAAAATGAAAAGGAAAACATTTTCTCATTATGAGAAAAACTGTTTGTTTTTCATTTGCGTTTTATATTATAACTCATAGAAACTTAAATAAAACGATCTGTTCTGTTATAAGTAATGCCAACCATCTGGTTAAACAAGTATAATGATTCTTGAGTCAGGTGGTATCTAAGCATTGTTCTAGTATATGTTGTACTTCAGTAATGATCGAATGTTTCTTTTTTTTTTACTATGTTAAAATGCAAAACAAAAAAAGAAAACTATTATATGTAGTTTTAGGATAATAATAGCTTACTTTTTACTCGACGGTTCTAAACTAAGATAAGAGTATAAGATTAAAAAAGAACAACATGAACTATTTCATTTTCATTTTGAAGAATAAAAAATAAATCATTTTCATTGGTGAATATAGATTAACCGATAGAATAATTTATATAAAACTCTATAGTAGTTTTATTAGCGACTTTGTTCGAAAGAATAGTACGTGATCTCGCTATACTAAATAAGATGTGACAGGAAATAAGAATCGTTATCGAATGTATCTAATAAGGTGACATTTTAATTCGATAGGCCAATAAGATTCATTCACTCCAAGAAATAACGCTTCATAATAAAATAACGTTTTAACGAGATTACAACAGATGTTACTCTTGCAAACAATGCAAATGCTAGATTTCACTGATTACCAACGGCCTAGTTTTAATTAATCAAAAGAACGTAATATGATAAATAATTTATCTCGATGAAGTGTTCCATATGCTATTAATAAGAGTTTTTTTTGAAATAAGTTTCATTCAATGTGCACAAATGAATTTTCACTTGATGATTTACGCATATATGATCATAGACTATATTTATTAGTAAAAACTACAAAAAAAAAGAATATATGAAAAAATTGGATGCGACGGAACACATAATTTGAGTGCATTGTTTGATGAAGCTTGACGAACTGGTTAAGAATATGTAATTTTTATTTCATAAGGTCACTCATTTTATAGAAAAAGATCAAGAAATAAATCATGCTAGATACGAGACAAAGAATAAGTTTTTCTTCGTGTATTTTTTTTTCAAAACATATTGAAAATAAAAAACTGCTTAGGAAAATGCTATTTTTCTTTGATCTTAAATTAGTACACTAAAATTTTATTCGTAATAAATATCATAAGTCTCAAATGACTAGACCGAGCCTATACGATGTTGTGATGGGCACTCATGGACAGAATCTTGAATATACGCAGAAGACATTACGTATTTCCATCAAACTTCTGTTTTTGGAAAACTCAATTTAATTCTTCGATTGACTAAAACATTTCTGCAATAAGAAAAAAAATATATAAAGCAAAACAAAGACAATGATAAAATAGTCATCACTTTAGGAAACTTCCTTTGTATTCAACAAAATGTACTTGTCTAACTCTTCTCATTTATCAACAGTTACCATATGATCATCATCTGCTAATTGAAGGTTTCGCAAGTTGTCAAACATTTGTTTGTACATTAATTAATTACACTCTAAATATACTTGCTAATTCATCTTTGATAAAAGACTACTTTTTTTATCCCGTTAAAATCACCAGATCTCACACTACAAAACGATGCATTTAGTTTCTTTTCAAGTTTTGATATATTGTTGAAAAAATTGAACATTTTTCCATTGTTGAAGCAAAACAATCAAAATAACCTTGCTCGTATTACTAGTTTTGATTTTCATAACTCATAATGAATGAATGAATTCGAAAATAGCATAAAAAACTGCTTCAGAGGATTGATATTTTAGTAAAATCTACTATTCATGGAAATGTGTTTGCATTATTCCTCAACATTTCTTTCAGAAACTTCCGCTTATAATCCACCTGAGTTTTATTCAAATATGAGTAATTCAATGTAGTTTTTCAAACTGATTCCGAGTGTACTTTATATTTGGCTTATTAATTGAGCTATTATGGCAAACACTAATTAAGACAGAATTGTTTTTGACTGTTGTACTACACTCATGAGAAAATATTCGATATTCTCAACAATAAAACAAAATTTTAAAGAAACAAAATAAGTACTTCTCTAGTTCAAGATTTATTCGGTAATTTTAATGGAATAAAACATATAGTCTTTCATTCATTCATTATTCGTTATGTCCCGTAGGCTTATTGCCTGTTGAGACCAACCAGAGGTAACTAAAACTCTTTAGGTTTTTTTTTTTTGTAATAATTGTCTTATTTCAAGCGACTATTATCTAAACTCCTTTCCTTGTGATACAAAATCCCTACATCATAGAAGATTCTCTCTTCATCAATTGCTTAATTACCAATTTGTAACTTTAATCAATATATGCGGTCAAAAGAATATTTTGTCACAGAATCGTCAGCTGATAGTCAATGCAAGGTGAAGCTACACTGTTTTTTTTGCGTCTTAACAATCGTGATAAATTTATTCATATCTCAAGACTGTTTTGCCTTTCTGAAACACCTTCTTTTTTGTGTTGACTATGATTAAATTGTTCATGATGTAGATCCTTTTCGCTCTAAATGGCAAAACTGGTTTGTTTTACTTTTGTTTTTCTGGAAGAAAGAAAAACCGAAAAATATATCAATTATTGCATTTCTCCTCAAAGAATCTTTGTTTTTTATTCACTTGCCTCGTATTAAATATCAAAATATTATTCTAAACTACATGAGTTCTGCTCGCAACCGAGCCAAACGAAAAGTGAAATCGATTTGAAAAGTCACTAATCGAACCTGCCTGTCTTTGCTAGATAGAAACAAATCGTATCTACTAATAGATACTGACAGTAAAGGTATTTGGGTAGGAATCTTTTCTTCTTGAAACTTAGTTATGAAACTAACAATTAGGATATTGTTGTATTATTTTGCTACTCAATGAATGAAAAGTAAGGTCATTACTGTGTAAGAGTGAAAAGGCTTGACTGTATTACGGATACAAGTCTGTGATTAACTTCAAAGAAAAGAATTCCTCGATGACTTCGATTTTGACTCACTGGAAATCGATTTAGATGTCTAGTCATATCTCAACATGTTGTTATATAGTCAATATTTCAACTTTATAATCTTCTTTCGTCATCCGAAAACTTGAAACTTCATTTCGTATGGAATCTACTATCAGTGCAATCGATATAAATATACCGAAGCGAATTTATCAAGAATAGTTTGAATTGGTGTCGTTTTTTTTTATTGATATTTGATTGATGTTTATTAGAAAGATAATAGATTGTATTGATAACCATTTGTGGCCTTTCGTCAGATCATCTGCTGCCAACCATAAATAGAATAATTATTGGCTTCTAAACATAGAGAAGCTCCATGCCTTATTCTATTCTTTGTTATTTCAACTCTTTGAATATGATCATAATCGATTATTTTGATAGTTGAATAGAAAAGAAATTTGAGGTATTTGCTGTTTTTCACAGAACACGAAAAAGGCTGAAAAAAAAGTAACGCCCAACGTGGGGCTCGAACCCACGACATTGAGATTAAGAGTCTCACGCTCTACCGACTGAGCTAGCCGGGCACATCTGTTTTCTGAGATGATTATTATTATACTCTTAACAGTTTTCTCATTAAAACTATTTTATTAATAAGAATTGAGTTTTCATTGTATCATATGCATATAGAGAGTAGTAAATTCAATTGAGAAGTGGAAATCTTTGAAATCGAATTAGGTTTCAACTGCAAACTAAAATACTAGACTCTTAAAAATTTGATGTTTGAATATATTGATCTTCTATATTTTAATGGACTTAAAACCTGTAATTCTTCTTTCAATTTTAATTTCTTCAATTACTATTGTGTTTTATATTCCTTTGAAAAAAATTGAAAGAATATCTAATCAAGCAATCTTCAGAAAATAATTCGCAAAAATGACAATGTGCTTTTGAGGCATATGATCTTTCAAACAAAGTTTATAAACTATATTTCATAATCAGAAGTTCCGAAAGAGATCTTCAAACAAACAACTAATATTAATTAGGTACACTGTGTCGCAACATAAGAATTTATTTCAATCTGTAGCATCGAATTGGCAAAAGAATACTACTATAAGTTCGGCTAGCTTAGTCACTAGAATTTTCAACTCTTAATATCGAGATTGTTGGTTCAATCATGAGCTATTGAAAACCAATATTGACATTCTGTAGTACTAAGCAATCGAAATAAACACTGACGGATTGATGATAAACGAATGATTTTTTTATTTGAATTAGGCTTATTCTCGAATGACTAATGTGTACCAATCGAAGTTCATTTGAAAGTAAAGAGAAAGCATTGATATATCATAGTCGCAATATCTGTGATAAATATTAATTTAAAAAACTACTTATTTTCATGTTTATAACCAGGTATGTTTGCCTTATTTGACAAAACAAATAACAATACGAATAATGATAAGCAATGAAACACGAGACGCAGTACACATAACTGACATTGCGCCTAACGAATGAAACTTTGTTACTTATGTAAACGTGTTGATAAATGGAGTAACCCACTGACAATGATAAATGTTGTGCATTTATTAGATGAACTGAGTACAATTAACTTTTTTTTTTCGTTTTTTAGATGAAAAGAAAGGCATACGTTGAATATTAATTAAGAAAAGACAAACCAAAATATTTAAGAACAAAATTTTGTTTTATATTTTATATCAATTTCTTTAGATTCATGACTATTGATTATTATTTTCTATTGCTTTTGTCAATTTTCATTATCACTATTAAATGTGATTCTGATTTATACACGACTTTGAACAATGACAACGAACATGCACATGAGTCTCCATCATACAAATATACTCAAGAAGCCAATACAAATCAAATTATCAATATGAGTAATTTAACTTTATTTAATAATAATATAATTCTATTGATAGTATCAATCAATTTTATTCCAATAATAATAATATCGTTTTTAATTCCAATAACAGTCCTTCGACAAAATCAAGCTTTATTAACAATTTTTCTTAGTTTTGCATCCGGTGGTTTAACAGCGGATGTTTTTCTTCGTTTACTTCCGTATATTATTCGTTCATATAATGATTCAATTGACACTCAAAGTGAACTTCATGTTTATTATCATCATGATAATCGTGCTGGTTTATTTATGCTTATGGGTATTTTTCTTTCATTGATTATTGAAAAATTCTTTCGATATTTTCAAAGTATGCACTACACTAAATAATTTTCTTAGAAATATATTTTTGTTTTGTCTTTAAGATGATAATAAACAAACAGACACTACATCGTCATTAATGAATTCTACTAATATTTTAGCTTATTTATTTTTATTAGCAGATATTTCACATAATTATACAAATAGTTTGAGTCTTTGTTCAATTATTTTAATGAAATCAACAATTAGTAAGCTATTCTATGAATAAACAAAATCAATATTTGTTTATTCATTAAGATTCGACTTTGATAATGACTAAGGTTATTTATGAGGTGTTACATATACTCTATGGTTATGCTATTTTAATTTATAGTGGATGGACTCCAGCGACAGTAAATAAAGTTTATAATTAATTTCGAATAATTAATTTCTATTCTAGGCAATGAAATTTCAATTATTAACAGGATTAGGTGGTTCAATTATTTGTTTGGTTAGTTTACAATATCAATCACATCTTATACTCCAATTATGGTCAAATCACATATGTTTACCAATAATTGCTGGAATATTTATTCATATATCAACAGTACATATTATTCCAGAAGTAATAGGAAATAATTATGGAACTAAAGAAACTATTTTAAAAGTTTATGCTTTTATTATTAGCGTTCTCAGTATATTTTACTTACAGAAATATGAATGAATACTTTTGTTTTTATGAACTTCTTTTTAGTCAATTTTTTACAAGAAGATTTCAACTATATACATTTTTTTACTGCTCGAAAAAAGAATCTAATAGCATACACGTCACATTCCAAATAAACTTTGAAAAGTCAACAATGCATGTCATAGAGTTCTGTAATTCGACCTGAGTCAATTTGGACTCGAGCTCACATTGAAATGTGTTGGGTCATGAGAACGAGCTTTAGACTTTGAAGTGTCAGATTTTTTTTTCTTAACGCAATCTATCGACTATTGATTGAACAATCAATGTGGTATACAGCTATTGGCTCATACTATCCGTACATGACATGGTAGTACCTTCAGCTATTTTGAAAACAAATTCATTTGAGTCTAGATAGATCAACGTACGATTATATTTCTAAATAACTGAAATATTACATGTGATATCATCTCAAATGAGACTAAATAACTATGACAATATTATCTTGTTCTTTCATTCAAATCCAAACTTATCTACTATGTAGTTCATTTGAACGATATAACTTTTGTGCCTCTACCAAACAGCCATGATATTGTTAATAAGCACTGTCTTGTGTTGAAAAACTAATAGACCATAAGATATACACTTTGTGATCATTGAGAGTTAATAATTAAAGAAAAACTCTATGTTCTCTGTCAACGAACTGTTGACAAAACTTGAGATTTTTCCGAAAACTTCATTCATCTATCTGATATAACATGCACTAATCATTATAGAAAAAAAAAGCAGGTCAATAATAGAGCATACGGATGCATCAATGATGTATATCATTTTTGAGATTCTTGAATGATACCACATTGACCTTCGTCCTCTCGAAATGTAATTCATAGTCAATATACAAGCTTCGATCGACTAAGCTTTCGTGTTCGGTAATAATGACATCAGTCTTACTAGCTGTTAGTGTACTAATTTATTCATCAGGCTAGATGCCAATCAAAGCAATGAACGATGTGTTAGTTCGGAGTTTAAAACCAAATCGATGCCAGAAATGTCTTTAGGATTTCTCATTCGACTTTGTTATTAAACAAGGCAGTTAATGGTGATGTGGCTCATCAATCTTTGTCTGATATGCAGCGATTTTCGAAAAGTCAGTTTGAAATATCTATTATTGTAGTTTGGTAATTCATTATATGTATTGCATATCTGAATATCGGGCTTGTCTATGCACAAGTTTTTCTTTTCAAATTGTTTGTCTCTCTTTTTCTAGTTCTCTAGAATAAAACATGACATACTGATGGTATATCATCACACATGTTACTTTATCATATTGTATCGCAGTATATTTTCGCGCATCGTCTTCCTTTCTATATATTATTTCTATCAGTGTGCAAGTCAAATGATAACGTCTAGGTAGAAGAACACAGTGCATCTTCGTTTCATTTTTGCATCGAAATAGAATTGATTTTCACAGACGGCTCTCAACTTGCTTCAAGATATCCAAGAAAAATTGCATAATATGTCAGAAGTCAAAAGATGAGGATTGTCTTCAACCTCTTGCAAGTAGTTTCATGAGTACCTCAAAGAAAAGAATACTTCTTTCGAGAAGAATGATTGATTTCTGTGTCGATTTTGTGTGCAAGAATTCTAACAGATGAAGGTGCCACGTGTTGAACCTGATGTTCCAATAACAAGTGACATTTTTGATATCAAGACGATGAATACAATAGCGATCGAGGACGATACTGATTTAACATTAGACACCATGATTTATGCCGGATCCAACCATAATGCTTGCATTGTTCGTTGACAAAAGGCGACATCAATCGTCGGATATAATTACTATGCATTAATCTACTTGTCTTGAATTACTCTTGATTCACAAGATATGTACTACGCATGATGTCCGCTGCTATTGCAAATATTTACTGTCGTCTAGCTGGCTGCATCATGAGGACATTATCAATATAACCAACCAATGGATGATAGTTAAAAGTTGATCTTTTTACTGAAAAGCTAGTTGCTTACGTTAGTGATATTATTCATTCTTCTTCAAGAGGCGATTCAAACTTCTTGCCTTGATTTCTATGAGTCATCGCTATCGAATAACAATTATGAGGCATGAGTTTGATGAAAAAATGATTACTTTGAGCCGATGTTTAAGATAGTTCATCCTTATCTTAGGTCATCTGTCAATCAACAATCTATTAATGTATTGGCAATTTTGTGGACTAACTTAAAGGCAAACATGTCATTTTGACAGATCGGATCACAATCCAATTTTCTAGATAACATTCTCATTTTTTTTATAATCTATTCATGTGCTTCTAACAGAATTTACAGTAACTTTCTTAAGGTGAAAAAAAACAGCACTTAGTAGTTCATGCTAAAACTCTTAATGAGACCATAGGAGTTTTTATTTTCATCACTAGTAAGAGGTGCTTTGATTATATTTCTTTGAATTCTGTTTACAGTAGCAAAAGAAGAACTATACAAGTGACGAACAATGCTCATAGCTTCTTGAAATTTTGGTTTATTTATTCGAAAAAAAAATGAAATATGACACCAAAAACAGTACAAAAGTAACTAGAGAGTAAAGAATTGTAGAATAAGCCTGTAAAGATAAGAACAAAAAATTTACACTTAATAGTAAGTGTTTGATGAAACCAATCATTCTAATGAATCGACAATGAAGTAATATCTCGCACAGTTACCCTTAAGCTTTACATATAAAATCAAGTTCTTCTTGATGTACACTTAAATGAATACCTTCATTACTTGTTTCTAGTTCATTATTCTCTCGATCAGATGATTTTGTAGAATCGCTGTTCGTTTTATTTTGCTGAGAACTTTTTCAAACTTTCGCATATAATAAGAGTACTAGCTAATTCAGGACTTATTTAAGTGTTCTTAAATTGGATTTGAAAAATAAATTGATAGATTTGTTTCGGATAACATATGATGATGTAGTGTCCAATAAATAGATTTCACTTATATCATGAATATCTGTCTCATTCTGTGTAATCGAATAAGGGTGAGTGTGGATATGTGAGTCCGGGTATCGGCTATTCTTCTTCAATAACTAACAGTCACATCAACCACACCTACACTTACACTTCTTCTTCCTTGAAATGAAATCAGAAAAATCAAAGTCGTGTTGTAAGTTTTCATTGACAAGATTTTTAGCTCATATAAAATTAATAGAATTCTGTGACCACTGCTATCTTAATTAACTGGTAAAGTGATGATTCATGTCGGCTACAACATCGACTACTTGACGGATAAACTGCATTATAGTTTAAGCTTTGTAGGTGTGTAAATAGATTTTGTATAATTAGATCGGCAAAAAATCAATGTTTATGGATTTCAAGTTAATTTTTATTTTCTCCATTATTTGCTACTATTGAAAAAGTTCGGAAGCATTTTAATAATTTATTGTTTTTTATTGCACAGGTGCTCTTTTCCTTTAGATTATAATCTGAATGAAACAGAAAAATAAAATCTATTGAAAAAGAATTTTTATTGCTTTAATAAAAATCAACAACAAAACATTTCTGATCCAGACTCTTCAATGCGAGTACATGATTATAGATAGGGAAAATGTGTCTTTATGCTTACATGTTATCTAACAGAAGAATGAAGATGCATTTACATTTTATTAACAGAGATATTTTTTTACTTGCTGTTCTTACGTTGATTTTTAAAAACAATCGTAACATCAGTATAATCTAATTTCATATGCTTAGCTCTATATTGATCTTCTTCACATTACTACTGTTTTTTGTAACTTCAATTTGAATTCTACAAAAAAAAAAAACTATGCATCATTATCTTGTAATCCAGCTAACATATTGAGTAAACGAGACGAATAAACTTTTTCTTATTCTCATGATATTTTTATCTTTCCTATTTTACTCTTTGTTTTATTCATTTTTATAGTTGTTCTTACTGTTTGTTTTCCTAGTCATTTACTTGCTCGTTATTACTGATAAACTAATTACATTTGTGAGTTATTGTTAGTGATAAAAATTTTTAATATATGTATATTGTTGACTGTTGTATGAACGCGTGACACATCTGAATAGATTACTAATACTTTCGCTTGTCATTATGATATACGTATATTCTGTAACGGCTGCATACAATATCGACGCGCATTAGTAAGAGCACGAATTATAGCAATTGAAAGCAATCTGTCTCATATTATTTCTGTTACATGATAATATGCTATTCATATCGCTCGAAGAATTTATACATGAAAATAAACTTTATTTTAAATTATTAGCCGAAGAAAACAAAGGCTTCTCTGAATGTCTTGATATACCAGAGAATACAATGTATCATTACGTAAGAGTTCGTTTTCATATGTAAACAGTCGATGACAATCGTGTTTTCATTCTTAAACTTCATTATAACTCTTAATCGACAATATCATGGATCAATACATAAGCAGGCGTGAACGATACTCATGCATAGATCTGATATCCATATCAATGACTCGTATAAAATAATATAGTATATTGAGTGAATAAGGCATTTAGTTGAAGGTAACTCGAGTTGAAGTGATCAGTACTATCTTAATATAACTTACCAATGACAAAATTCTCATGTGAGCAAATGAGGCATGACAATATTTTTTTTTTGTTATAGATAAGTAACCCAGTCATATACATAAATGATTTCGTCTTATAGAGATCTTGTTATCTTATACTTACGATTAACTATCAACTACAAATAATGATATTTACTCTAATAATTGCTTCAATGCTGATATCATGGAGTTTAGTTATTGAAAACGTTGTGAAATCGAATGATGATGTTAATAAAAGGAAAAAAAGCCATCAAACTATAGGAAGAACTTTTCAAATTAGATAGGTTCACCACGCCTAAAAGACATGGCAAAGTCTATTCAAAAATTAGCAACGAAGGTGACCATGTCAGAAAGTTTTTTCGGGGAGTATAGCGGTCACTCATACTTTCTCTACGAGATGATGCGTGGTTACACCTAACAGTAACTGGAAAAAATTTTTCATGAATCTTTCTCACTTATTTCTGACGTTATCATGTTTTTAGAAAAAAGATATATGAACCACAATATAAAGTTGAAAATACTACGAAAAAATATTTAATTAGACAAGATATAGTCAGTATGCGTGTATATGTATACTTCACAAACAAAATTAGCTGTTAATTCTGTGAAAAATTGCATTAAGAAAACTTTTACATGTATGTAGTTGTTTTTCTTTCAATACGTAAAGTAATTATTTTCACCTATTCATATTATTATTTGTTTACCAATGACTTCTTCTGCATCGGTATAGTTACACATAGAAGTCTTATAACAATCGTAACCTATTTTACAAAAACACTTTGCACAGTTATGAGATTAAGATCAATTTAAATACAATGTTTGTCACTGTAAAATTCACTCAGTTTTGAATAAGGTCGATTTGCTCCCAAGATAATTTTTGATTAACATTGGTTATGATTTAATTAATAAATTTAACAAACATGTACCCAAATGGCGTAATAAAAAACCAATGATATCTCACAAAGACTGAATCTGTCAACGATTAAATCTTTTCACTTAGCTTGTCAGCATATGACGTATATACTTTTTTTTAAAAGTTTTAGTCATAGAGTTTAATGCGTGATATAATAAAGACACGGTCACTCGACGTACATTTAACTAGAGAGACGCACGTGCAATGCAAACAGTCTGTATTTCTAATTTAAACAGTTTATATGACATGTTAGAGAATTCATAGACAAATAACTATTCTACTGCTTGCCTGAAAGTTTGTTTTCTTCATGTCAACGCGATTTTGTTTGTTTCGACGATTGTACATTCAAATTTCTGGTTAAGTTAGTTGAATATTTTTACAAGCAAACATACTTTCCTCTTTTTAAAATGTGAAATGTTGAAAATAACAATACATTATAATAAAGAGTTGTTTTTTCTTAATTGCTTGTAAATGTAATTTTCAAGTATTTTTATGCTTGGGAACCGTAACCATGAAAACTATTTTTTAAATGGTATGATGCATCAAGCAAAATATACTTCCTACGGTTTTCATTGATGAGATGCTTTTTTTTTTGCTTGTGAATGCAAATGTTACCGAGTGTATTTGTCAATTGTGATCGAGGCGTTTTTTGTTCTCTTCGTTTTTGAATCATCACTCTCACAGAACGGATAATTGTTTTTTTTCTATAAATTACTATAAATTTATTACACGTATGCAGAAAAAAACGAAACGACAGTTCTGACCTATTTTGATCAAGCAGCCACTATTTGCTGTCAAACAATGAATTTATTCGCGATATATGAAAATTTATGTGAGCATGGATGCGAATTAGAATGGAGTTCAGTCATTAAAGTTTTATTTATCTTTTTTACAATATATTTAATCGATATATTCATTATTTTGCTTACTTTTAAACAACATGAAAGTAGAAATACTTCCAAAGATAAACATATATATATACCCCAATGGAAATCGTGTAATCTTCATAATGAATATCAAGTTCAAATTCCAAACCATATTCAATCCATGGCTCTAATTAGTTCATATAACGACATATTCAATGAGTTATCTCTATTTTCTACCATGGAGTCTATTACTGTATCAACTCAAAACATTGATTTTTATGTTTTACCAACAGAAGAAATAGTTAAAGTAGATGTTCCAATTGTTCCATCCATAGAACAACGAGAATTGATATGTTATGTTGATGCTAGTTATTCTCATCGTATGCAAATTGGTCATTCAGGTTTTCGTGCTTCAGATGGTTCAAGTACAGTTCATTGTTATTCTCCTACTTGTTCAAGAAGAGGTAGTACTGAAAGTGAAGTATTTGCTGCTGGTCTTGCTATTCAACATGCTTTTGAAAATCAATACGATACATTAATCATTTATACAGATAATTCTAAAGTCGAGCAACTTCTTTGTCGTCCTAAAGATAAAGATAGTTGTGATTATCCTGGTTTTTATCAGATTTTATCTCAATATCAACAACAACCGAAGAATAATAAGATTCGGGTAGAACGAGTTCGTGGACATCCAACACGTTATGAACAAGATCAATCTGACATAAAACGTGAGTTTGCTAAAATTGATCGACTTGTTCGTAAAAAAAATCAACGATATATTCGACGACAACAAATTAAATATACAAGATTTTATCCGTCTTACTATTCATGCAATACTTTTACATATCATAGATGGGAAGTATATCAATGCTTATTTTATTTTTGATCGATTACTTCGAACTCTATAAATAAAAAATAAATATGTATCGAACGAAATATTTTAATGTATATGTGTAACATATTTTATAAAAAAAAGAATTATACGATCGCTCTTTCTTTAGTTTAGCATTTAAAATATTACAAGTTTTATGTGTTGTTTTTTTTTTTTTATTGAAATATATATATTTTTGACCATGTTGATTTTTAATAAAGAAAAAAAAGTTCTCGATTAAAGAGTTCTGCTCATGTCGATATACCATCATCAACTGAAGTGAACTTCTTATTTCAACTAGTATTTTCAAATATCTTATTAGTGATAATGGGATTATGATAAGTTGAGTATTAGTTATGAATGAATATATAACCAATATATATACTAGTGATTCATTGATACATAAATAAAAGTTTAGATGAAAATCAATTTTTTTATCCTTTGATTATACATTAGAATTAGAGGTCTCGATATGAGAGAGCGTCTGGGATGAGTCAATCTTCTCTTCCTACTTTTTACGTTGCGTCTATAAAAACTTCGAGTAGTTGTTGGAAAACTATCTGCCAATATTTAGATGGTAGTGTTTCTCAGTTACTTCCTGTCGGATAGGCTACCTTCGACTGCCTTTCAAATTTGTAACTTCCTTGTGCTTTTAAAAACTATCGAGAAAGCTCATTAAAGCGAATATGTTAATTTTGTCTAGCATCTATTTGGTATTAGTAAAATGTAATCAAGCAAAAATATGTTCTTCTAACATAGAATAAAAAGGTATGTCAAACATATTAAAAATAGCTCTTAAATGAGTAAGCATGATTGATCAGCTAGAAATCATGTCATGAGTCATCTAATCATCATCAAAGCGACATCTATATTCCAAAAACAATTTATTATCATTATATTTATTTGATTTACTTATAGAACTTTCGATTTAAAATTTTTATTTCAATATACAATATTTCATTCAAATAAATCATAAGAATGAAGAGAGGCTTGTTTAGAGGTCGATAATTGGTTGTATAAGGACAAAATCCAAGATGAATTATTTATTTTCTAGTGCTTGCTCTTTCTTTATTTGTTGATTAATCTCTCCATTCATTCTTTCTTCTTATTGCGTGTGACCAGTGGTTGAATTCTCCCTCGAATCGTTCTTCGTCAAAGATTAAAAATGGATTCAGACAATGATTCTGGTAATTCTAATGATGGTCCAATACATCGTCGTCGTACGCAAGGTACACGACCACCACCACCACCATCATCACATCAAAATAATTCCGTGCATCGAATGTCAACTGGTAATACAAGTGTTGATCGTACATATCATCCAACAAAAGAAGATGCACCTTATTCGGATGATGATGAACTTGATGAAGAAGAGGATGATGACGATGATCCTCGTCATCATCATCAACAATCAACGTATCGTGGACGTGGACGACCATCACAACAACAACATTTAATGGATAGTTCATATGATGATGGAAATGACCATCATGATTTACCACGATATACAGGTCCATTACGTGAACAAGATCGATTTTTACCTATTGCAAATGTTGCTAAAATTATGAAAAAAGGTGTACCAGAAAAAGGAAAAATTGCCAAAGATGCTAAAGAAACTATTCAAGAGTAAGATTATATTTTATTTTTCATTATTATCTTTTTTCAAAAGATTTATTTAATTAAATAAATAGATGTGTTTCGGAATTTATTTCATTTATTACAAGTGAAGCATCTGATCGATGTCTTCAAGAAAAACGAAAAACAATTAACGGTGAAGATATTATTTCGGCAATGTTAACATTGGGTTTTGATTCATATGTTGAACCATTACGAATATTTTTAACTAAAGTACGTGATGCATCAAAATATGATCGTACAATGACAATGGGTGGGGAATTAACTGATGATTTACGTATACAAGTTGCTCAAGCACAAGTTAATCAAACACCTGGACCCTTGGCTCAAGCCCAAGTTGCTACTACCGTTCAAGTACAACCACAAACAACAGGAGCTTCGACTTCATTGTCTGGTCAAACAATAGCAGCTAAACCAGTTGTTACAGCAGCTAATCCAAATGGACTCGAGCCTTATGGACATTCAGTAAGATTTTTTGTTTAGTAATGAATCATTGAATTGGATGCAAACAACTTACGAGAGTATCTATCAAACTAATAATCTCCGTTGAACTCATATTTAGCTCATGGTATAGATAGAAATCTTATAAGAAATTGTATCAATAAGTCTAGGATTATTTCTTTTCAAGATATCATATGCTTGATAACTGGCCTCGTTTTGGATTTCTTGTGTAAAAGTAGCATTTTTTGTTTAGGAAGAATTTCAAATCAAAACTTTGTGTCACGATATTTCTTGCGGTACTCTGTAATAAACTGGAAGTTCAGTAAAATGACCATAACTCGAGAAGAAACTTATAATGGAAGGAACTCTATGAGGATTTTTATCTATACTATAAGCTGAAGTAGAGAATATAAGTCGGATAGGTTGCCACATTAGTCAATACTATTTTACTGTAATAAATTATTTAGTTTCTTGAGCGTTATCTAATTTCTACATACAAACAATATATTTTAACTGCAATCAGATAACAAGCAATGATAAATTCTTCTTTAACTTTTCTATTGTTTTAATATAGATCACTGATTTATGGTTGGATATGAACATGAAAAATATCCTTAGACTTCTATTGACCATTTTTTGATTTATCTAGAAAATAGAGAGTATCAAAGTGCATAGAACACGGTAGGTTTTTCTGTTTTAAATCGTTTTGTAAACAGAACATAAGTGTTGTAATTCATACAACTGTTACATTTGTAGACGACAGTATTTTTGAGATAACAACAAAGGTTATTGTCCTATAGATAACTCTATATGCTCTATGATCAGATACGAAATTAGCATGGTTGTCAACCTATAATTCATTAGCTTTAAACGAGGAAGTTATTGATTATTCGATAGGTTCAGTTCTAATATGATTCTGACGAACTATGACCACCAACAGTGAGCCATCGACCATCAATCAACAAATTATTCTGGTCTAAGTTGATAACAGCTGTACAAAGCTCAAAATAGTTCGATTGAAAAATTGCCTATGACTTTAAAGTTCCTGGCTACGCAAATGATGATCATGATCATTTCGTCGATCTATTATATAATAATTTATTTACGTTTTTCTTTTTAGGTTCGTGTGGTAACTTGTATTCGAAACGATCAACCAGGTGAAAATCCTAATTATGTGTATACAATTCAACCGTATCAATAAATAACTTAATATACACCTAACATAATTTAAAGGACCGAAACAATTTGTACATTGTTTTTCGTTTTTTTTTGTCTCTTTGTTTGTACATTGTTTGTCTAACATATATCATCAGTGTATTTGTGTATGTGTCTTTTTTTTTCTTTCGTTCTTTCGTTCTTTCTTTCTATTTTGCAACAAAACAAAACAAAAAACAAGAAAAATCTTTACTAATGGGCAATTATTTCTTCTTACAGATAAAATATTTATTCTATGGACGAGTTATCTTTAATTATTCAATCAATAATTGATACTGAATTGGATGATCTTATACTTGATTTAGTTTATGAAATTCATTCATCACTTAAAGGAATACCTGAAGATCAACTTGAAATAAATAATAATGGTACTAAAACAAAAAATTTTTCAATACCATATTCACCATCACAAACAACACCTATTGAAAAACAAACATGTACTTGTCCTCAATGTGGTCAATCAAATATAATAGCCATACGATTTGCTTATCATCTAGCGAAATGTCTCGGTGAGAGAAAGAACAAAAAAGAATATTTTCATCAGGTTTTCTTTTTACTATTTGAAATCAAAAACTTTTATGGATTTTTTTTTTCATTTTTCAAGGTGTTGGTCGACGTTCATCTCGTCAAGCAAAAAATCGAATTGTTGATCAAGTTATGACTATAACAGCTTTATCAGATGATAGTCGATCAAATGGAGATGAATTTCAAAATATTGAACCAAATAATATTATGCCAGAAGATGCAGGATCTTGTACAGGTAAAATTTTTTAGTTTATTATTATTTTTTCACTATGATTAGGAATATATCCTTAGTTTTTGATTCAGTAAAGTCCTTATGAAGAAAAAAGATAAAACACTGAGAGAGTATCAGAAAAGCAATTCTGTGAATTTTCACCATTCTAGTTTTATATCTGAAAAATATGACTTTCGAATTATTTATATAAGATTAAGTTGGTTTTCTGAGATCCTCCCAGAATTTCGTCGAATCGAAAACTAATGACATATTCGTAAACAGCTTGAATGAACAAAAATGTTTGATTGGTTTCTTTATTTAGATTCAACATCAAGCTCAAGTAATAATCATCGTCGAATAGTAAATGAAGATCAAGAATATACAGGTGATTTTGATAATGAGGATGAAGATGAAGATGATTGGAAACCGAAAAAGAAAAAACGACGAAATGCAACAATAACGACGAATAATGTAAATAATAAGAAAAAAAGAAAAAAGAAAGATGATATTATTGCTATATCACAACCTATTGCTGAGCTTGATTTTCATAATTGTATCATTCCACTTGATAAACTTAGGTAAGAAATTTTTATTATTATTTTTTTTTCTGTTTAATCTTTATGTTGTTTTAGTCCACGAACACGGCATACTGTGGTTCCTTTGGTACCTTCAACTATGTCATCAAATAATGAAAATATTTTTTTTAAAAATCGACAAATGTCACCATCTTCTTCATCACCACATTTTTCTGCTCGTTCACCACTAAATCTAGTCGAAGATGAACAATCATCAACAACATCGATTATTATGTTTCAAGAAGACAGTAAACGATAATTCGTTTCGTTCTTCTTTTCTTTCTTTTTTGTTGGTTATTGTTTTAAATCTCTTGTATTATGTGTTCAGTCAATTTTTTTCTGGTGAATTTCAAAAGTCAAGAAATACAAAACAACAGAGAATTTTGATGATAAATTTATTTCTATGTTATCTTTCTTATAGCTGTCTGCTATCATTGACAAATCTTCTTCTTTTTTTTCTTTCTTTTTTAATTTGTACAACAATATGAAATATGATGTTATATTCGCGAAAAAAAACAAGATGTAATAAAATACATATATATGTAAGTTTATTTCGTAATCAAAAACAATTCTATAGAAAAGAAACAATTTTTCGCACAAAAAACAACTCAAAAAAAAATGAAGATGATTCGATTCATTTTTTGACATGAGATAACTTCGAAGTGGTTCATTGTTTTTTTTTTTTGGTGAATCTATAAGACACCATTCATAAAGGAAACCCAGATAAAGCTCATACTCTTCAAAGCTTAATATAAAAAAGGAACTTCATAGAAAAAGTCTATTTTTTCAAAGATATTAAAAACAGAAATGAAAATACACACATTTCATAAACAACAAACAAAAATCTGGTTAAATACAAAAGGGACTCAAACATCTAACAACGTTTATGTTATTAAACGTACGAAGTTATTCGGATCAGATAGTTGTGTTATTAGATAACGGAAAATTCGAGACTTTGAATTTTTTTCAAAGTAATGATTTTTTTAATAAAAAGCTTGATCCAAGGTCATCGAGTTAATATTATATTCATATTCAACTGATTTACATTCAGATTATTTCCTATGTAAAAGTGTACTTGAAAACAAATCAAGCTTAGAAACTTCGCTGCAAGTTGTGTGGAAGAAAAGAAAAATATTCATTCAGAGACGTTCCATAAAAAAATCAAATGTTTTCAGATATCGAAAAACATGAGACTCAACCGATTTCGGATTTAGGCAACTTTTTCAGTGTTCAAATTAAGTCATATACCAATTGTTAAAGCTTGATTTGCTCTACAAAACAATATATAGTATTTCTCTCTGATCTTAACACATTCACCCCGATTCAAATTTCATAGAAACTAACATCTTTAAATACGTTTTATTAGAAAACAAAATATACCACAAGATGCAGTATGAAAAGCTCTACAATCTACATCATAAAACTTATTTCAATTGTGTACTTTTTGTTTTCAAAATAAACTGAAATTGTGTGTGACCAATGTTTGAGGTTGCGAAAATTGATTGCACAGAATTTTGCTTTTTTCGAAAACAAAAAATAAACTTTACGATGTAGATTGTAGAGCGTTTCACACTGCATCGTGTGCTATATTTTGTTTTTTCTTACGAAATAATATTAGGTGATAAAAAGATGAAACAAAATGAAATTTCACATTCGTGCAAAAAAAATGATCGTTTCGCAACTTCGAAAACTAGTTATACAGAGTTTTACTTTCTTTGAAAACAAAAATTACACAATTAAAATAAGCTTTACTATGGAGATTGTAGAGTTTTTCACGCTGAATCTTATGGTATATGTTGCTTTTTTAATAAAACGTATTTAGAGATTAAAATATGAAATACAAAGTGGGGTCCACCGGTGGACCCCATCGGGTCGAATGTGTTAATTTAGAGGGTGTGGGTGTGGGTATGGGTTTTATTCTTCTGATTGACTCACATCCACACCCATCGAGCATGTATCTCTGGTGTAAAAATCGAACTGAATCATCATACTGTAAGGAAATAATCGAAGAGATAATGTGTGTATACTTTATTTTGAGCAGGGGGATATATCGTTATGATGTGGATCAATCAACTATAGTTGCCTGACGCTAACTTTGGTTCCCTTAAAATGACTCAGTATAGCCTACCATGTCCATTACTTGAATGCTTGGAAGATGGTTCATCGCATACTGTTCAATATGTTTTTTTCTATTCTCTCGCCATGCTATTAACTCATTTCTATGAAATCGCCTTTTATCATTCAAGGACATCTAATCTGCATAAGTGTCTCGCTGAATGGTGGGTATGTTTATTACCCAATAAATTGTTTTCCTACTGTCCATGTACGGAAACAATGGAATAATAATAATCGGCCGAAAAAGAATTTCTTTTCGGCCGACTATTATTATTCGAAACAACGACATTTAGTCTAAACTAGACACATATAAGTCATTGACTTATCTAAACAGTCGCTATTTACACAACTTTTCTTTAGATGAATGAAAATAACACAAAAAAGTCTGAAGAAAATAGAGTTGAGATTATTAAAACGAAATATGTTATAAAAATAATACTTCATCTTATATCGTATAAAAGAAGAACTTCTTTCACTGTTATAGTACACATTGGTTTTTCACAGATAATGATGAACACTACTCTTGATTCAAATCAATCAAATCTTAAGAAAACTGATGGTAAGACAGTGTCTTCCTTATATTGGTTATTTTTTATTTTCTTATAGAAACATCTACTCATAAATTGTTGGATGAACCAGTATTAACATGGCATATGACTTGTGATGATCGACAAAAAGATGGAGTTGATAATTATAAAGCAGTTACAACTGCAGTATTACTTGATCGTGTTATTGATAATCTCAGTGCTGCAAATAAATTTTCTTTAACTTGTCAAAGTGCAGTCAATGATTCAACAACAGATTTGAGTGAACATTTTCTTAAATGTGCAAGTAAAAATCATAATTCAACAGCTGATCGTTGTGAATCATTCCCAGAGCAAGTAGTCGGTAAAAGAAGAAAATATTTTAAATAATTTTCCATACATTTTTATTTAAGATCATTTCAATGTGGTATCAACTGTTCCAAACACAACAAATTATGTAACAGCACAGGACAACCAACAACATGAAAAACATATCATAATTAGTTATAATAGTTCATCTCGTGATATATGTCAAAAAATATATGATCGCCTTATTGTAACTATATATATAATATTCTTAATTTTACTACATGATGAAAATTTTAATTTTTTACATTCTAGGAAAAAAATTATAAAGTATGGATGCACTTATCAGACATGGGTGATGATATTCTAGTCAGTATGGCACGTGCTGTTGAAAATTCATATATAGTTCTTTTGTGCATTAATCAACAGTACTATACGAGTGAATATTGTAGGCTTGGTAAAGAAAAATTTTTTAAAGTATACTTCTCAATTTCTATGAACGAGTAAATTTGTGTAGAAGCGGAATATGCAACTGAAAAAAGAATCAAATGTATTCCATGCTTGATGGAGAAATCCTTTCAGACAGAGAGTTGGCTGGGAAGTATTAAAGGTTCTAATTTTCACATCGACTTTTCGTCACATGATAATTTTGATCGATCATTTGATGAATTAATTCGTCAAATAACTTATGTTGAAAAACGATTATCTTTACCACTTCGTAAGTTTTTCTATTTGTAAAACATGATTTTATTTGTGTTAATTAAGGTCGTACTGCTACATCTTGCTCAATGATTAACTCAATACAATCAGTACGAATGTCTACGTCAGATACAATCATCTCAAGCTTCACAAATAATGCGGATTCACGTCGTTTCGATGATATTGTTTGTAAATATAAGAAATCAATAAGTAAAGAACATTATGAATTAAATCAATTACAACAAAATGAATTATCAAGTCTTATTATAAAGTTACGTGAAGAATTATATTGTGATGCACCACAAGTTTTATCAGATAGTAAAAAGTCAGATGACGTAATTGAAAAGCATCATTGTGGTAATAATTGTTTGAAACAAACTCGAAACTTTCATCAAAATGATATATTACGATTAGTCGATCGTTTAACAACACCAAAACCAATGGAAGAGAACAATTCAAATAGTTTTTTTATTGGATGTTTTAAAAGTATCTTAGGTGGTATGGTTGTATGTATGCTTCATAGATGTATCATAAGAAAATAGAAATGTTTTTTATAGTTTGTTAATTATAAATCGTTTTTGTAAAATTTCTGATTATTAATAAAAATTGCACCGAATGTAGCATATAGACACAAATCACTAAAAAAACAAGATGTTGTAAATTTTGTTTCATTAATACAAGAAACGTTGATTCTCTCCATTGACAAGATTGATATATAGTTTTATTCCGTTCACTCTGAAAATTAAGTTTATATGCATCATAACACTTATATTACTAGTCTTTCTAATTGTTAATTCATTAAAAAAAAAGTTTTTTTTTTCTAGTATCTGTAGAGAAAAATATCAAGTTTTACTCG